AGGATCATGTGACTCTGAAGACTGGAGAAATGAAGCTGAAAATTCAATGGAATAAATGAAATGATAAACTACTGTTGAACAGTTATATTATAGCACAATAACTTTACACTTTTACCATTGTACTGTATTTCTGATGTAATAAATGCAGCCTTGGTGAGCAGCCGAATTTTAAAATCATACTGACTCCAAACTGTTGACTGGTAGTGTATATTTCATTTAATTTTATATATATTTATGTAAAATTATTATAATTATGCCTAAATTATAGACAAACCCAACCACTGGGTAAAAATTGTGCTACCAGTTTATGAGTAAAACTATAGATTCAGTAAATTAACCCAGCGGTTAGTTTAGTCCATAATTTACTGAGTTCAAATAAAACTGCATTTTCAGTGTGTAATAAACAAGCAGACAACCTGCATACAGACTTAAGTATGAACCGTTTCTCAATATATCACACATGTGGTTTCTGGGTTTTATATTTAATGAAGCAGGAGTTCATCTGGAATTTATCATCAACACAAGTGCTTTAAGATAAGAACATGTAAACAAACCATGATGTCCTCAAGCGCAATAGTGTGTGTCTGAGTAAAGCAGCCAGCAGGAGAAGCAGATGAGCTGCTGATGTGGAGATGTGTCTGTGTGTGACTATTATAATCTGACTTGATCTATGAGGTGAATCTGATGACAGAGCGCCATCTGGCGGACAGCAGCGCTACTGAGAATAAAAACATTCCTCGGGCAAAATCGGTCACGTCTAGAATGGATACAGCTGCGGCAAAGAATGAGCACTAAACACCTCATATTCATAAACTGCATGACTAATGTTGTGTCAATAACTTCCATTCCATTATTAACGTCTATAACTACCCTAATACTAAACCCACCCGTAAAGTAGTAATTATTCTTGTACAGCGTCACAAACATTATGACAGCTGTATCCCTTCTAAACTTTACCTTAAACTTTACCTTAAGAGGATACAGCTCCATCCGCAAATTCATTCATTCATTTTCATTCATTCTTTTTCTTGTCGGATTAGTCCCTTTATTAATGCGGGGTCGCCACAGCGGAATGAACCGCTAACTTATCCAGCACATTTTTACACAGCAGATGCCCTTCCAGCCGCAACCCATCTCTGGGAAACATCCACACACACATTCACACACACACACATACACTACGGACAATTTAGCCTACCCAATTCACCTGTACCACATGTGTTTGGACTGTGGGGGAAACCGAGAGACGTGGAGAGACATGGAAACTCCACACAGAAACGCCAAGTGACCCAGCCGAGGCCGAACCAGCAACCTTTTTACTGTAAGGCGACAGCATTACCGCACCAATGCATCGCCTCATCTGCAAATTAATAACAATTATTTATATAATTTATTAAAATTTGGCGACCTCTGATAAATAAAGAAATCTACTTTACTTTACTTTACTGTACTTTACTTTACTTTACTTACTGTACTTTACTTTACTTACTGTACTTTACTGTACTTTAATTTACTTTACTTACTGTACTTTACTTTACTTACTGTACTTTACTTACTTTACTTTACTTACTTACTGTACTTTACTTTACTTTACTTACTGTACTTTACTTACTGTACTTTACTTTACTTTACTTACTGTACTTTACTTTACTTTACTTACTGTACTTTACTTACTGTACTTTACTTTACTTTACTTACTGTACTTTACTTTACTTTACTTACTGTACTTTACTTACTGTACTTTACTTTACTTTACTTACTGTACTTTACTTTACTTTACTTACTGTACTTTACTTTACTTTCTGTACTTTACTGTACTTTACTTTACTTTCTGTACTTTACTGTACTTTACTTTACTTTACTTATTGTACTTTACTTACTGTACTTTACTTTACTTACTGTACTTTACTGTACTTTACTTTACTTTACTTACTGTACTTTACTTACTTTACTTTACTTACTGTACTGTACTTTACTTACTGTACTTTACTTTACTTTACTTTCTGTACTTTACTTACTTTACTTTACTTACTGTACTTTACTTTACTTTACTTTCTGTACTTTACTTCCTTTACTTTACTTTACTTACTGTACTGTACTTTACTTACTGTACTTTACTTTACTTACTGTACTTTACTTTACTTTACTTTACTTTACTTACTGTACTTTACTTTACTTTACTTACTGTACTTTACTTTACTTTACTTACTGTACTTTAATTTACTTTACTTACTGTACTTTACTTTACTTAACTTTACTTTACTTTACTTTACTTTACTTTACTGTACTTTAATTTACTTTACTTACTGTACTTTACTTTACTTAACTTTACTTTACTTTACTTTACTTTACTTTACTTTACTTACTGTACTTTACTTTACTTACTGTACTTTACTTTACTTAACTTTACTTTACTTTACTTTACTTTACTTTACTTACTGTACTTTACTTTACTTAACTTTACTTTACTTTACTTTACTTTACTTACTGTACTGTACTTTACTTTACTTACTGTCCTTTACTTTACTTAACTTTACTTTACTTTACTTACTGTACTTTACTTTACTTAACTTTACTTTACTTTACTTTACTTACTGTACTTTACTTTACTTTACTTTACTTACTGTACTTTACTTTACTTTACTTACTGTACTTTACTTTACTTTACTTTACTTTACCTTACTTTACTTTACCTTACTGACTTTACAGGTCGCTGGTTCGAGTGCCGGCTGGATCAGTTGGCGTTTCCGTGTGGAGTTTGCATGTTCTCTCCATGTTAACAGAAGGGCATCAGCTGTGTTCTGTGTGTGTATATATTGTTGTGCATTTATAATTGTGAGATCAGAGCAGTAAAGCTGATCAAAGTACACAGTAAACTCCTAAAGTAAAGACACGGCCTCATCACAAAGTCCCTCAGTAAGCTCATCATCAGCCCTGACTGCGGTGGGAATTATTACACTGTTGATTAAATTAGCAAAAGCAATCACAATCTCTTAAAGCCAGTTAATTGGGAGAATTTATTTACCCGCGCTGACGGCTTTATGCATGTTTGATGAAGTATTATAAGGTTTGTTTTGG